TTGAACACAGTAAAGGCGGACTCAGAGAGGATACTATTCCATCCTTGGGAGATATTCAAAGCATGACCTGACACAGGACTGAGCAACCTGCACACCTGACCGTGCAAGGGACTGGACTACATGAACTGCAGAAGTCCCTGCTACCCTGTACTATTCTGTGAAATCAGTAGATGAGTGAAAAGGAGTACAAAACAAAGACAGAAGCTAGGGAAGTCACCTAACACTAAGATCTACATACTCCAAGCGATTGTTAATGCATTTTATCCAGTAAATCTGTTGCATGCAATACAACAGCAATACTTCAAGAGAGACTGAAAAATCAGAGTTCCAGCGTCCCGAACTGGGAGGGGTGGGAAAGGGTGTCCAAAGTTTTATCCGCTGTTTGACTTGAATAACAAACATATGAACATACATATGTAACTCAGATCATATGCCGAGCAAACTCGGTAAGCTACATCACTTACTTCAACGTTGTTATTAAGTTCCACATACAGTTGTCTTGTTTCTTCTCTTTCATGTTCATCTATCAAAATAACAATGTACTAAAAAGTTTTACTTTGAAAAAGAACTTTAGCTGTCCAAGCCGTCCTGCTCAACAGCAATGCTAAATTCCGAAGAATTATGTATTCTTTTCTTATTTTAGCAAGTCAGTGTGTGCCAAAGGTTATACAATCCAAAGAAAACATATTTTCCATTGAGATATTAAGCAAGCTCAGCTTTTACTTTTTTTTTTTTTTGCAGGAGGAATGTAATTCTTTATCAATTTATATAAATATTAATAGTATTAATGCTATTAAATAATACTGCGCTAAAATGTCATGTATTTGAAAAGTGGTTATAAAGGTTCTGTATTTACTTTCAGCAGACATCCATACAACTATGTTCTATCTCCATCTTTTTATTTGAACAATTCCGGTTTCATAATGCTATTGATGCTATATCGTAATACTGATGCTATTTTTATTCCTCAAGAAAACAATTCAGGATAAATCAGAATGTAAGAGTAAGAAACAGTTAACCAAGAAATACAGTAAATCTATACACAGGTGTTTGCAGAGGCAAAACAAAAAAAGAGGCAGTCCCTTCGGATATATCTAAGATAAAGTCAGCAGAAGATTATTTAGATATTAAAATAACAATTCTGGATTTGATATAGATTAAAATCTCAAGTCAATAATATATTTTAATACTTAAAAAAAAAAAGTTTCATTTACTCAATCAGCCTTCTGGTGTTGGTCAATTTAGTGCAGGCCTAACTCATCCAGCCATAATAATGCTATTTCCTCTAGTCTGCTAGAGGAAATAGAAAAGATAAGTGGAGTAGATTCAGCTGCCTAAACACAGGCATGAAGTGCCATCTGACATGACCTAAAATATCCAAGGTACCTGGATGGGACTGACAAATGTGACAGGGCTTGAAAAGATCGGCATTCTTCTGGTTAATCGATATTATTCATGGTAGCTGAAAATTTGTTTCAAAGTTTCAGCAACTGAATTTCCCCAGTCATATAATCTTTAAACAAAAATCAAACTAATGTTAGAAAAGCTTTGAATTTAGCACCACAAAAACACAGACACTAAATTTCACATCTAAATTTCATTCTGATCCACTGAGCCACACACATTTTATCCCACCTGGAAAATAACTCGGAACAAAATGACAGCCTTTTCCTTAAAAAAAAAAAGCATACAAATTTATAGAAAGCTAGTACTTTGATAAATAAAGATTTAAATAGCATTTACATTTGGTGGACTTCTCCGTGAAACGAGCACAGGTTTCCTTGAGCAGATTACACATATGCTTTGAAGCACTGTTTCTGGAAGAAGGAAAAAATACCTTAATATGTTTTTTTCAGGGATGATGGTACTTTGCATACATAAAATAATGACAATGTAAAAGCTTGATGAGCTTAACAATTTAATACCTATTTTTAACTGCCCATATTAATAGTTCTTAGCAAGAAAACTTCATTTTTACAAAAACATATTTAAATGTATTACTTACTCTTTTAAAAGATCCTTATTTTCACATATTTCATCTTCAAGTTTTAAACTTAGTTTTTCATTTTCAAACTGATTTTAAGGGACAAGTACAGAAAGATACAGTTATTGAAAAACATTCCAGAACTGGAACTTTCACTTTTCAAGTCTCACATTAAAATGTTTTTTCTGCATCAGAAAATAGAAATCCATTTTATCTGAAATGACATGCTGAGCAATCTTTTGTTACAGTTTGTTCAAAGATAATAAAAACCCAGTAATTTACCAGCAATTGAAATACTTAAGGTGTGTATCCATAGGTACACTCACGCAACTTTGTGAATACACATTTTCACAGGACAAAAATTAAGCTCAAAGACAAAGGGCTATCAAAGATGTTCAAACTAGTTAATTAAGATCTGTCTATTTAATTTAGGCATTCAATAGTACAATACTGGCCTGCAATTCTTGAATGGCTTTACGCTGTGCTTCAATAATCTTTCTATTTTCTTGCAATTTTCTCTCTTTCTGCTTCAGTTCTGATTCTACAGTTACTTTCCATCTCTTGATCTTCTCAGCCTCTTTGTAGAGTTTTGAATATAATTCATTCATTGTTTCTCTACTCTATTGAAAATTCAGAATTTAATCTCAAATACTATTTAATCAACATTTTAGATACACACTTATCTCAGAAACATCAAAGGAATATTTTTTGTCACAGATAGTGGTACAAGCATCTATACAACCAAGAAAAAATTTAATGCATTCATTGTGCATGTATCAACACACATCACAGAAGTAAGGAACACAAATAGAATGCAAATGAGCACAAAACACCCCACGGACAGTCTGAAATTTTAGCTATGATATCATTTAAGGTTATCCTTTTATTCTGGCTGCATCGATGTATCATTACAATCATGACTGTATTTTAATAGCTACTAGGGATAAAAGAAGTTTGGTCCTTGGGAGATGAAAATGATTACACAGACAGTTAGAAATAAGTTCAATTTTATTGCAGCAAACAGCATTCCATATCCGGGAAGCACAGTCAGCTCCTACTAATAATTAGCTTATTCAAAGTTGCAATAAGGCAGAACAATTTCAGTAAAAAGGCCAAGAAAAACAAACGAATGCTTGAGGAAGCCATTCCACTAAAATAATAAAGTCAAAAAAACCAACTGGAATAATTTTTCTAAGACTTCTCTAACTTGAATGCTTTTGTCTTTCAACGGATTTTTTAGAACCAGGTTCACAAAGATATTTAAACATCTTTATTACCAAAATCGTATTCTAATTAATCTTAAAACTCCTAAAATCCCCAGGCACTTAAAAAAATAAAAGAAAAAAAGAAAACTGCCTTCATATCTACAAGTTTACCCCTAGGCATGTTTACTACATCTTAAGTACTTTCTCTAAATAATATAGAATTAAACAGGTGATACGGAAAATAATTCTTCCTCTCTGTCTAACCTATCCACGGGATGGTGCTTATGAAACTGTTTCAAGAACAAATTAAATATTAGGAAGCCCTAAGAAAACAAATTTCCAAAGTATGTACTTAACTGACCTCTTCATCTATATCAGACCAAGGTTTTACTTGCTTTGAAATTGCATCTGGAACATGGACAGATTTTGATAAATCTATTAAAAAAGCAACAATAACAGAGTAACAGGTATGACATTGTGAAGTTAGTCATGAAAAACATTCAAGATGATAGTCAAATAATCAAAATATATATATTGTGCAAGATTAATGTTCATTTTAGGCTTACCTGAATCAGTGATTTCATCATGGTTGGGTGCACTTGTCATTACAAAGGGCAAATTAAAATCATCACCCGGGCATTTGCTAAAACCCTGGATAAAGTTAAAAATTAGCTTCTTATAGTTAAGTTTGAAAAGCAGGATTACAAATCCCAGAAAAACAAACAAACAAAAAAAAACAACTAAAGTGAAAACAGAACTTTCCATTAATAAATCAACTGCAGAGTATTTTAAAAGCACAAGATAATGAAAATCCTTTTGATCTCTCCTGATTGCTTTCTAACTCACTGTGGTTTTTAGAACTGTCTGTCCTTTGTAGTTGGCTTTATAAACTAGACTATCTGTGACCCTAGAAGTGGATGTTTTTCATTAGTTATAAAGTAATTTGCTATTACATGCTTGTTCACAGTTGCATGGTAAAAAACACATTAAGCCAAGTGATTTTTTTCCTTAAGTCCAATATTTATGTTTTTTTTTTTTCTTCACCAATAATATTTTCTGAAATGGACCTGATAAACTTCTGTGCCTTTTAGCACACCTTGGCAAATCAATTTTTCATGCTAAAATTTTGTCTGGTACACAGCATAATTAATCACTTTCTGTCATATTTGAATCTAAGTATATTCAAAAAGAAATCTCAGCATGAAAAAACTTGTGGAATTCAGAGCATTTAGAGCCTAGTGACAGCACACTTTCACTCTGCATTTGATTGTGGTGGGAGCAATAAATCCAAGCGAGCCCAAACTAGACTTTGTATCCTTCCCAACTTACTGCTCTGAATTATCCACATCAAGCATCCACTATTTGTCACTGGCAGTTAAAGGTTAAAATACATAGCAAACAGCTGAGAAAATGAGTCTTTGGGGTTGTGAAAACATAAAAGCAGAAAATGTAGGTCCAGTTCCCAAGGTCTCATAGATTTGCCAATTCAGAATTCTTCCATTCTAATTATATCCAGGACTCATGGCAACCAAAATTGAAAATGCTCGTCTTCCTGCCAGCCCTAATGGTTTACAGTAAAACAATGTCGTGAACATCCTTCCCAGGATGGAAGCCCCGGGCTTTGCCAGGGCCCATCTCCCCCCCCCCCCGCCCCCCCGCCACTGCCTCAGCAGCCTGACCTGGCCAAGCCCTGTAGCCCGAGCGCTGGCCTGGGGCTTAACTGCAGACACCTGGCCGCCGCTCAGCCGCGGTGGCACAAACAGCTTAAACGGCTTTTCCTTCTCCATGGCCTTGGAGGAAAGGACAGTGCCTCAGGTATGGCCACGCCGTGGCTCGCCACGCTGAGGGAGAGCGAGGAGGCGGGAAGCGGCGGCGCGCGGGGGACGCAAAATGGAGAGCCGCAAAGGCAGCGCCTCAGGGGAGGCAGGGCCGCGCGACCCGGGGGAACG